CTGTTTTAATGAGGCCAGAGTATAATCAGACAATTCTGACACATAGATCCTTGGGAGACTATCTCCTTGCTCTTTCTGCTTTGCTTCAGACCAATTCCTTACATCTGCCAGATTTACTTCTTCTTTTAAACTCATTTCCATCATGAAAGTTTTCCACTTATTGATACTCTCAGATCAAACGCATTTTCTAATGATATTACATGTAATATGAAAAAAAAATAGTTAGTCAAAAATAAGTGAATAAATTCAATATAACAGAAAAGATAAATAAATTGAATCTATTTCTATATTATCTACCCAAATAAAATTCATCAAAAAGATCCTAATTTACCCTCCTATGTGTACACTTATTGACGGACATAAGTTCGGTATGATTATACCTATGGTGACCGATCTACGGCTCATTTATATGCATGGTTTCGGCTCTAATAGGAATAGGGTACTCAAATTGTCCTTAATGTCGGTGCCCCCTTGGGCTGCCAAACCCTCGATCCTCACTCATTACAGGTTTTGAGCGGAACGAGTTCAATTCGAGGGGATTCACTACCTTATACCCATACAAGGAATAAATCCCTACGAAGGTATAAAGTATGTATCCTGTGGGTTATTTGCTAAAACTCATACGAAGAATAAATTCTTACGAGAGTAAAGCATTCACCCCGACTAATTTGGATCAAAGCTCGGGTCTAGAGTTCATGTCATGCAAATGCATGTGATGTGTGTAAAGAGATTCAAACCTTTGAAAATATGACAGAAAAACAAGACTTTTACAAGCTCCAAAAACCTGTTTATTTCTGAAGACCAATAAAATCAAAAGTTGATTAGTTAAAAATAAGGGTAAAGTATAGTAATGGTCACTGAACATTTCTGAAGCTTGCATTTAGGTCCCTCAACATTTAAAACTTGCAATACAGTCCCCCAACATTTATTCCGTTTGCAATATGGTCCCCCAACTTAAACCACAGTTAGAAAATTAGGATAAATTATATAAATGGTCATTGAACTTTTCAGTCACTTGAATTTAGGTCCCACAACTTTTAAAACTTGCAAAACAGTAATCAATTTCATTCTAAACCCCAATTTCCAAGTAATTCAATTTTATTCTAAACCCTAAATTCCAAAATACTTAAATTAAATTCAATTATGTCAAATTTATTATTATTTAATTTCATCTTATTTCATGTGATACGTATTTTTTATATAAATATAATAGTATAATTCTTATCTGTTGAAAAAATTTTTTAATTAAAAAAAGTAGTTAGGATATAGAAGAGGTTGAAAATAATTCGAATTTTAAATTTATAAAATGTTATTTTGACGTATAAATAAAAGTGTAAACTACTCGGTTGACAACTTAACTATCTAGCCCTTTTTACTTTTGTCATCGATCTTTTAAATTTATCAATCATACCACATAATTATTTAACTGTTTCAACTAAGCCACTAGTCGTTACCAATTGATAAAAATGATGATGTGGCAGTTAAAAGGAATTGGTATTATTATACATTCAGTCTTTATTATTTATATAATCAATTTGGTCCTAAATTAAATAAAATTTAATAAATTAATCATTTAATTAGGATCTGACATGTGTTAGCACATGATCATGACACGTGTCATTGGTGACACATGTTACCACCTAATTATTATATATGCTATCAATTTGGTCCTAAATAAATAAAATTTAATAAATTAATCATTTATCAGGATCTGACATGTGTTAACACATGATCATGATATGTGTTATTGGTGACACATGTCACCTCCTAATTAGAAGAAAATTAAGTTACAATCTTGGGCAAACTCAAACCTGAGTCACGCAAATGAAAGATACAGGATGGAGCCACTAAGCTAACACCATCGTTTGTGTTAAGAGATATACAATAATACATATACTAATAGTATGATCAATGCCAGAAAAAAAGAATATAATGTAAAATGGAAATAATGAGATTTGAACTTCGGCAAAAATTTGAAAGCAATAAATGATGGAAAATATTATATTTTTACAATAAAAAATATTATTTTGATAAATTGTTTGATAGATTAATATATTTTTTAAATATTAGTTGATACAATATTTTAAAAGAATAAATTTAAGATTTATATATTTTTAAACTAAATTTAATAATTATATTTTTCATATTTATTCATGATTATATATATAATCTTAAGTTGAGTATTTCTAATATAATTAATAATTTTAATTTCTTATTAAAAATAAAATATTCAAAAATATAAATGATTCATACATTAATATATGAATATATTTTTTATTTATACATCTAAATATAAATATACATTTATATAAATATATTTTTATTCGTTGTGTCTGTGCCTTGAACTATTTCTTCAAGCCTATATTACCTTAAATTGAAGTATTTTAGAATTTAATTAAAGTATTTTAGAATTTAGGGTTTAGAATAAAATTGAATTACTTTGGAAATTGGGGTTTAGAATGAAATTGATGATTGTTTTGCAAGTTTTAAAAGTTGGGGGACCTAAATTCAAGTGACTGAAAAGTTCAATGACCGTTTACATAATTTATCCTAATTTTCTAACTGTGGTTTAAGTTGGGGGACCATATTGCAAACGGAATAAATGTTGGAGGACTGTATTGCAAGTTTTAAATGTTGGGGGACCTAAATGCAAGCTTCAGAAATGTTCAGTGACCATTACTATACTTTACCCTAAAAATAATGCATGATATGTTTGAAATTCAAAATAAATAAAAGGATCGTAACTGAAATATAATTTAAGTTTGTATTTCCCAAATATAAAAACAACGTATAATCGTTTATGGCCTAACTCTCGAAGTCCCCAGTGGAGTTGTCAAGCTGTCATAACCGTTTTTTACATATACCATTTCTTCTCGTTTTAAAAAACAGTTACGAATTTAATTTTAGAAAAATTATAGTTTTTAAATTAATTGGATAGAGTCGCCATCGACCTTTGGATTAAGTAGTCAATACCTAAAATTGTCTTTTAAAACAATTTTAAAAATCCTTTTTAAGACAAAATCTGGTCTATGTTTACCAAAGATTCGATTCAAACGGGTTCGAGAGTCGGTTACGCATGAGGAAGGATTAATACCCCACAACGCCCAAATTTTGGTACCTAATCGATTATATGTTGTTTAAATATTGGGAATTAAAAACTTAAAAAATATTTAATTACATATTTTTATTCATTTGAATTTATTTAAAAGATTCAATTTCAAAAACAACTGAAATAATAAATGCAATGGGCTAAAAAGATTAACGAGTCTGAAATATATTTTATAGAATACACCATTTAGTTAATAAACAATTATAATTATTTTTATAGGACAATACAAATATATATATATATATATATATATATTTTTAATATAATATATACAAACATGCTTAACATATGTAACAAGTTAAAAAATATATTGTACGTACATATATATTTTAATGGAAGTGACTATTTATGAGGGATAAGTTATATAATATATATATATATAATACAAACATGATTTAACATGTAACGAATTGAAAAAAAAAGTATACTGTACATATAATATATACATATTTAATGGGAGTGACTATTTATAAGGGATAGGTTATATATATGTCTAATAAATATGCTTTTATTATAAGTTAAACACAAATATACTTTTTGGTAATAAATTGTAATATATATTTATAGCATAATATTTACACCTATTTTATTTTAGGCTATAATATGAACACATAAATAAGGTAATTAAAAACATATCATATTATATAAGTTATATGGGAAGTTAAAGGGGCCCTGACATGATTTAAGGAATAAACATTTAAAATGAATACAATCATGCATAAATATTAAGACCAATATAAAAGGGAATAAAATATTAAAATTTAAAGTACTGGAAATATAAAAAAACATAAACATTAAATTTTATAAAATTAAAATTAGGTGTTATTAAACAATAAAAAAAAATTAATTGGCTAACAACAATAACAAATAAAAAATTAATATATATCTTAAATCAATAACATAAATATAGGATGTTAATAAAATAACAGTTAAAAGTTAATGACTAAAATAAAATAAATACAAATAGCGAGCAGAATTAGAATAAATAAATATGATATATAACTAAATTAAAATTATTGAAATAAAGTGTCTAAAATAGAATAAAATAAAACACATGAATTTCAGTGACTAGAATGTAACACTCGGTGAGATTAGAGTGACTTAAACGCAATTGGACACAATAATTCAGTGGCCATTTTGTAAACACGATTGAAACTGAAATGACCTTACATAATATTTCAATTTTCTTATCTATATAAATCATATTATAATCACTTAGATGAGAACCCTAGCCCCCTTTGTTATCATTTTTGCTTTTCTCTCAACATTCTTCTTTCCTCTCAACTCATCACGCTGGCCAAACCTCACCTTAGGCCCAAAACGGCCGGCCACCGTATCTTGGTGGCCGGATCTAACTCCGAAGATTTCTCTCTTTTCCTAGTCTCTAACCAACGACCCTCTACCAAAGGAAGACAGAGATTTCAAAAGTAAAAAAAAAACTTATCTTTTACTAGTTTATATCTTATATTTCGAAAAAAAAATGCATGTACAGAGAAAATATACCTTATAAGAAATAGTGGATTGTGTTTTGTATTGCTTTTTTTTTTGAAATTCTGGATCTTTATTGATAGATCTTGAATGATTTACAAGATACCCTTGTTTTCTCACTCAAATATTTTCTCTAATTTTTTTCGTTCGAACAGATTTTTTTCTCTTTTTTTTTCGTTTCTTCCCCTCCTCTTTTGCTTGATTCCCCTTTGATTTTATTGTTGAAATCTTCATCTAATTTCTTTGATGCATCTGAATTTCTTTGCGTTTGGTAGGATAGTGACGGGTTAGGTATGATTTATGACATTTATCTTTGACTTTGGAGATGTTTTTATTTGTTTTGTTATTTGGTTGGCCGACATGAGTGATGATGATATTTCAACTTGTTCGTAGGTGACTCACCTTAGTGACTCATCGGTGGAGAGGCTTCCAAGTTGAAGGTTAGACCCGGGCAAAAAATGAGTGTTTACAACTGCTGCTTTATTGTCCATAGCCTTTTGCATTAATTTTGAAAATTTTATAGATTTGTTGCTCATCTTGCTTTCTTGAAGCCAAGAAGTCTTTGGAAATGGAAAAAAGGTTCGGAGTAAGGAATGAGGACTGAAATGCTGAGAATGAGATGTTCAAGCAGCTACTGAATAAGCCTGAAGAAATTAAAATATTAACCTATGGGGTTATAATGTTGTTAGAAGTGGAGAAACACCCTGTTTTTATTTTATTTTCTATCATCTTTTTTTGGGTGAGGGCTTGTGTGAAAGATATGAGAGTGCATGTACTGTCATAAACATGAAGAGCTGAAAAGAATCAACTAAAACCACTGATCTGTGCTCCATGGTACTTTTTTTCTGGAACAATGAAACTTTTGCAACTCTTTATGTGTGTCCATGCCCCTAATACATCTCTTATGTTCACTTAGATTCTAAAGAAGGCAAAATAGCTTGGAGACTTTTTTCTTGTTAGTATCCATTCTGATCACATTGTGAGGTACTTTATTTATGTTACGTTTGGTTTATCTTTTATCTCGATTAATATTTGTTAAGTTTTGTTGGAACATTTGAGTTTAGAAGGTGGAGAGTTAACTTTAGATTCACTCTTGTATATTAACCTGCTCTTGTTAAGTGTTTATAAGAAAAAAACTTACGAGTCTACTTTGCATGCAGAGAGCCCTACCCGGTAATGCACGTTCATGAGCTCAGTCTTAGTGTGTTAGCTTGCCGTTTTGTTGATGAAGTTATCATTGGTGCACCTTGGGAGATTACAAAGGACATGGTACGATTTTCTTTTAAATTTTATATTTATATGCCTATAATTATATATAAATTAATCTGTGCATACGAAATGAGAAGACCGCTTGAGATCTGATTTAAAGGATTTAGCCCTTACTGAGGACATGACCTATGATAGGAATTAGGAAATTATGGCGACTTAAGACCAGGGTAGCCGAGTAGGGCGAGTCACATCCATTGGGTGTATTATCTTTGTCTTCTTTTAATGCTTTTGTAGTAATTTCATTACTTATTACTTATACTTTTTATATGTTTATGTCATTGGAATTAATGAATGCCTAGAACTAAGGTAGCGGAGTAGTGTTGCCTTAGTTTTTAGGTTTTAACCCATTTGACTTTATCCATTCTTGAAGACTGCTATCGTTGAATTCTTTGTATATTGTTCTTCATGTTTCCTCTTTAAATTTTGGACGGGTCTTACTTTTCTGTCTAATGCAGATATTTTTATGCAGGGGTGTATTTGCAGGGATTACTTCCCATTACAGACGTGCAAATGAAGACTGCATATGAAGATTGTCCAACTACGTATTTTATTTTTTTTATTTATTTAAACATGCATTGTATTTTATCTTTATATTTATTTTTTTGACTGCCGGAGGTCTTCCACGGAAGTTGCTCTCAACCTGGCGTTTGGGGACAGCCTACTACCCTACCTCCCCCTTACCCCATTACATATGAGAATAGGGTTTTGTTGTTGTTGTTGTTGTAATCCGTGCATACGAATGTATTTCCCTTTGATTATGTATATGTTTCTTTGTGATAATATCAGTTTAGCTTAGTGGCACAAAATATGCTACTGCTACTTTTGCAACTTGGTTTCTCAACCTTTAAAATTGGATAACTGTCATGATTTATGAGGTTATTTCTTTAATTGAACATATTACAACCTTCAACATTTCTATTGTTGTGCATGGGACAGTTGCTGAGAGTAACACTTTGTTGCCTGTAAGTTTACAGACCTCCCTTGGATTTATCATGACCCCGTGTCTATGGATTTAGGGGAACTGCTGATTTTGTTTCATACAGGGTGAAACTAATCCTTATGCAGTCCCAAAGAGAATGGGGATTTTCTGTTTTCTCGAAAGCCCTAAAAGTTTAACCACAAGTTGTGTAGGCCAAATGATAGAAAGGTATCTTTTTGTTCATGTAATGACTCTGTTTACTGCTGCTATTTCTTTGGGTTAATTCCATGAACAGTGCCTTTTCAATTGGCTGCTATCCCTTATTTCTTTTCAGGGATGACTTTAGGAAATCTTATAAGGAAGTGAATCCAGATGCAAAGGGTGTTACAGGGGTACTCATTTCTCACTTGCTCGGAATAGTTTTAATTATTGTTTTTCACCCCAAATTGTTTGTTGAACGTTTCATTAATGAAATTTAGGTTGCAAAGGAAGGTGGTGAGAAATAGAAATCCATGTCTGATGAGGTGAGTTGTTATTCAATTATTAAATCCATGAAATTTAGATCTGTGCATGTACTATTCCATCAGCAGCTCTTTGCCTGGTTTTCCAGTTAACAAACAGGAAGAACAATTGTTTTGTACCTTTTCTAGGGGATATTTAGATAGCAAGACATAATCAATAAAACATACCACGAGTCAATTTGAGAATTACATCTCTTTCACGTACAAATGACAATATAACCCAAACCAATTGTTTTACGCTATCCTCCCCGGACCCTATAGGGCCTTTTTCTTCCCGGAAAAGACATGTGATATTCTGGGGCAGAAAGAATTGGATTCTGGAGAGTTTTTTTTTGGGGGTCGGATGTCGGGTTTATGTGATCAAGTTTTTGTTTTTTTTTTAAAAAGGTTTGGGAGGAGTCAAGGAAGAAGATATACAAGTCAGGTCAGTGTCTGACCGAGCAAAAAACAGTCCCACCGCACTCGGTTGCTATCCCTACTTTCTTGTGGGGGAGAGATCTTAGAAAGTTCAATTTCTTTCCTTGTTATTTAATTAGCCATCAAATATTATGTTTAGGATGTTAGTAAAAAATATCATGATTTTCCTACTTCGAAACAATGTCAAATGCATATCACAAAGAAGTTACCAAACCTTCCAGCATAATGAACTAAATGACAAGAATCGGTAAAAGTTTTAATAAGCCACAATACAATTTTCACACAATCTTGTTTAATACCTTCTAGATTCCTCTTCTTGAAGCTTGACATCAAACTCCTTACTAGGTAGATACTTCGGCAAACTAGATGGATCAAAAGGAAGAGACTGTGTTGTAAAGAACTGGAAGAGAAACTTTAGAGTTAAAACAAAATTACTAAAATGAAATATTGTCAATAAAAAGAATGTTAAGATGACGAGTACGAAGGATGAAAAGGTAGGATAATTATAAGCAACCAACATAGTTGACATTCTAATGAAGAACTACCCAGCAGGACCAAGACACAAGCTGTGCAGTAACAATTTCATAGTTGAAATATTAAACACGTTATTTCTCAAGTAATCATAAGCAACCAACATAGTTGGCATTCTAATGAAGAACTACCCGGCAGGACCAAGACACAAGCTGTGCAGTAAGTCGGTAACAATTTATCGAACATGTTATTCTAAGACAAGAGGAAGAGCTGACGAGTGCCAATGAACCAAACAACTGGGCAATTATAAAGATACAACTGAACATTTCAAGCGCAGAAACAATATGCAAAAGAAAATTAATATGGTTTAATTTATATAAGGAAAAATAATATTAATAATTTATATTAATATATATATATATATAACTATTGGCCATCGTATTACCTTTGGCTTTACCACTGACTGTATGTTTGTTTAATGCAGAAATGTTGCTTGTTGATGCTTGTTGCTTGCTGCCTATTGTTGTATTGTAATTTATTTTGTTGTTCTAACTTAAATAGATTGTTGAAATTGTTATTTTTTTCGAAATAGCTACTCGGGTTAAGTTATGGTGATAGCTTTAAAAGTTGCTCGTAATTTAATAATATTGGTAGCTATTTTGAGATAAAAGCTTGATGAGGAAATTTCTGGTAACAAAGTTAGGCTTTTAGCCTTATAACAATTTTGTTATAAGATCTGAGAGCTTAATTTTTTTTCATTTTTATTGTATTCAACTTGAATTGACTCAAATGTTATTCAAATTTTATATTAAATGTTATTTAAATTATCATTATTAATTAAATTTATATTATTTTTCATTTATGTTATAATTTTTACATAATTTTTTTTTAAAAATTAAACGGTATAGTTTATATTTATATTTTAGAGAATTAATCACGTTCAAATACTAATATTCATTTATTATCAAATTAATTATCATTTTATTGCCAAAATTATTTATATTAATAATGTAAATCATTAATATATATTACATAATAAATACTTTCATTATTAATATTTTTTCTTTATATAAATTAAACCATATTAATTTCTTTTGCATTATTAATAATGTTTTATTTAATTTACATTTAAATAAGTTTATTAATTTTATTAAATAAATTTATATAATATGTCTATTTATTATTTTAATTATCATAATAAATATTTTATTATAACATTTAAAAAGTAATCATATTAATTTTTTAATTACATTATGAGCTAAAAAAACTCATAATTTTATTAAAATCTTATAATTTTGTCATGGTAATATATAAGTCAGATAATATCAATCATTCATTAACAAGTCGGATCATTTACAGGTCAGGTTCATAACGGGTCAGGTTGAAAACAGGTCGGGTAATATCAGTTTTTACCAGGTCAATCTCGGGTTCGGGTTCATATAAGTCGGATGCAGTTCGGGTTCGGGTATCATTTTTTGTTCAATTCGGGTTCAGGTCGGATGTAGGTCGGGTTAGGATCCACAATTTCCAGGTCCAACTCGGGTTCAGATAAACACCAGTTCAGACTCGAGTCGGTTTCGGATCGCCACAGGACAAGTCAAAAACAGTTTTGTCTCGAGTCGGTTTCAGTCAGTTTTGCAGGTCGGGTCAGCTTTTTACAACCCTATTAGTAGGGGAATCATGTGTATTTTTATAATTAATAATTGGGTAAACTACTTCAAATATCATTAACCTTTTTAGGTAGTTTATAATTTTTTTGTAATCCCTAAATTCAATTTTAAAAAATCTTATGATCTTTATGATTTTGGGATTACGATTTAAAGTTTATGGTTTTTGGTAATCCCTAAATTCATTCTAAAAATAAATCTTATGATTTTTAGGGATTACGATTTATAGTTTATGTTTTTTTAGATTTTTAGAAACTTAGGAGTTTTTTGAGTTTTTCTGGAATTTAATGTGTTTTTTGAGAATTTTAATAATTTTAATAATTTCATGAGTTTTTTAGAAAGTAACTTTTGGAATCCTGACTAATGTTATATGTATTTTGTTTGTAAAATTGAATCAAAAAATTTAATTTGGTGCAGTGGTTAAGCTTTGTTTTTTATTCAAGAGGTCATGAGTTCAAATCTCTTCAAAAGTATAATTTTACTAATTTTTCTCAAACAAATCTACGTCGTTTTGGGTTTTTTTTAACATCAAACACAGTCATACCAAAACGACGTCGTTTTGGTGAGAGAGCTACGTCAGCAACGTCACGGCACGGAGATGTCATGTCATCGTGCCGTTAATCCATTAACGGCGGAGTGACATAATTGTAGTTAAATTTAAATGTTAGTGTTAAAATTGACAAAATTAAAATATTGATGGCATAAACGAGCCCGAACCTAAAGGTGAGTGGTATTGAATTAGTTTACCCTATAAATAATTATCTCATTTCCAAGAAAGAATTCTCTTGCATCTCTAAAATCATTTGTGATTTTTCGTTTAAGTTAGAATAGATAAACTTCGAATCATTATATACTTTTTTTCATTCAATAACTCATTTGATCATCGTGAACCATCATTTTACTTATTTATTTATATGATATATATTTATTTATAGGATTAATTATGTGTTTAGTCACTAAATTATTCGTATGATATCCACATGTTTTGTTTAGTCACTCAATTATTCATCTGATCATCGTGAACAATCGTCTTACGTTTTGATTTTATTTTGATTACACATCGTTAGAAAATTAACCATGATGTTGAAGTGTAATCGTAATATAATGTCACGTTATTATTGAAAAATTTTAAAAATCATAACGTAGAAAAATATGTTAATTTTTTAACACGTGTGACCAAAACAGAACTAAAATATAACGTTGATATGATTTTAAAAAAGAAATTGAATAATTAAAACAAATTACCAAAATAGTTAAGTGATAAATACATAATTTATCCTTGTTTATATTTACATGTATTTTCATGTATCGTAACTTGTCAACCAATGAAAAGAATACGTGAATCAAATGAGATTCATCCAAACACATGCAAACCTCTAAATCAGGGTAGCTTTTATTTTTCTTGCTAAAGATTTTAACTTTAAAGCAAGAAATTAGAAGGAAAAAGGGAAAATAAAGCTTGAAAAGAGAATCAGATTTGGCAAACACGAAACAATTAGTGACCATTAAAAAATAATTAAGAAAAACTACGATCGTCCTACAGGATTGAGAAACACCCATTCATATCTACCAATGACAAATGACAAAAGACAAAAGAAAATGATGAAAAGAAGGAGAAGAAGATGATGATAATGATTATGTTAGGGGCAGTGCTGTTGGGATTGGCGGCGGCGTGCTTGGTGGTTGTTTGCAATGGGAATGGCCGGATGGCATTTGAGCCGAAACGTCCTCTTTTTCAGCGGTGCTATTTTCATTACTCTGACTGTTTGCGTCCATTTGACTCCCTCTTTTTCCTCCGTTTCCGACTCCGTTACCTCCCGTTTCCATCTTCGGTCGCCGTTCTCCTTGCCTCAATCTGGTTAACCGCATTTCCTGGGAGGTCACGCCGAACGCCTCTCTAATCAATTTCAATGGCACCCAAAACCTCTCTTCCTCCTTCGATTATTACGAAAAACACTGGGATTGGCCCAAAACTCAAAAGGTCAAGGCTTGCCGCATTCGCAAATTCTCTAAATCCGATGCTTCCCGCTGGCTGAACGCCTCCTGGGTGGTGATCGCAGGCGATTCGCAAGCTCGATTGTTCGCCCTCTCTTTATTAAACTTGATTCTGGGTTCTGAACCCCAACGCATGGATTCTATTAGAGCTGCTCTGTTTTAAGAGGCACAGTAATTACAGCATTTCAGTTAACGAAATTAGTTAACTTTTCTACAAATCTGATGATTTTAGAAAGGAATGTTGATAGATGTAAATGGTCTTTTCTTGACTGTGTTTCTTCTCACAATATTAGTTGATTTGTGTATGTTTTAGTATCCTATATGACATGAAAGCATTCATTTCTCCAAGAATGAATCACCCCCACGATGGATCAATGGACGTTGCCATTTGTGTAATGAATACCTCGCATGTGTTAGGAAATAGTAGTTCCCACTCACTAAAATACCCAAAATCAAAGGGGAAAATCAATATTTGCATTGCATTTATATTTTTTTTTCTTGCATCAAATTTTTGTGTCAGTAGTACATATAGATGTGTGAGTTTTTTTTATCTTTTGATTTAACTTGTTTAAACCAAGCAAGAAAGTGATTTCTTTTCAGATGAGAAAACTGATATTTAGACATTTTCAAACAATAAATCAACCCAGTCTAAAAGGCTTAGTTAGGATTTTTTCTTCTGATGTCTTGAAGGAGGTGATAGCTAATTGTGGAGATCCAAGGGTTTCTGAGGGAAATTATTACTAGTTTAAAAGCGTAATGGTGAGACGCGTTTCAATATATTTTTTTAGAAAATTTAATTTTAATTTTAATCTTATTTAGAAGAAAAAA